CGGATGTTTTCACCGAACGAATTGTAATTGGGACCCCCGTAGGGCAGCTCCGCCGGAACATAATCTGCAATAAGGATTACCTTATTCGGGTTGTCCGGACTTCTGAAAGCATAAAGATCCGTGTTGTCTGCCAGCGGATCATTGGCAATAAGCGGCGCCTCGCGATGGCTGGACGACATCATGATGCCGGAGCATACCAGCAGGCAGCCTGCAATGAGAAAAAACTTCAACTTTCGTTTACGCATAAACTTAGTTTGTTGCATACCACATTTTTTTGAATGAATAATTAAAATACCCGGGTTACGGTGTAAAAATCCATGGCAGGCCATGGCGGGTTCTTCCCGGGAAATGGATTTGGGTATGCCTGTTATGGCATAGGTTTTAGCATACTGGATCTTGCCTGCAGCAACAAAAGGCAGGCTGGTGGCGGCGTATAGAAGCGAAAGTTTTGCCAGTGGTATTGGCAAATGATTCACATGTATTTTTGATCAAAGGGAAGGATCAACGGTATTGTCAGTGAAATTGTAAAGCTGTGTAGTTGCAGTCTCCATTGTTCGCGCGTTGCCGGTGTTTTTACCAGCAACCCGGTTTGTCATTTGGTATACTGCAGCATCCATTCGTAAATATTCATATTGTCTTCTTTGTATGCAGGGTTGATGGCTTTTGTCCAGGCATCGTGCCTGTCTGACTGAAAAACGGTCAGCCTGGGTGCAACAGAAGGCGAAAAACTATTGACCATTGAAACAAAACGTGTAGCTGTGCCGATGCCTATCACGGGGTCGTTATTGTTGTGAAAAGCCCAGATGGCAACTTTGTTCCGGGCCAGGCTGCTGCAAACGGCGCTGTCCGGATATTCACCTGCTACCGGTACAATGGCAGCAATTTCATTGGCGTAACTGCCGGCGACAATGCAGGTTGCTACACCGCCATTGCTCAATCCGGAGAGATAAATGCGGTTGCTGTCTATCCTGTACGTTTTCTTTGCATAATCAATCACGTCTTTGATCTCTGCTGCCGCCGGAAATTGTTTTAACTGGGGTGCTATAACGATAAAGGAATAATAAGTACCCCTAACCGCAATATTGGGCGGGAATATTTTTTCATCTATTAACTGGGGAATGCCATCGTTTAGCAGCAAAGGAAGGTCCAGTTCGCCGTTACCGTACTGACCGCCGCCATGAATAGATACAATTAATGGGTAGGTTTTACTGGTTTTGGAGTAATTGGCCGGTAAGCTGGTATAGAATCCGCCCACATTGCTGTTAAGCGAAAGCGTAACGGGTGTTTGAACGGGTGCTGCTGTTTCTGCTTTTAAATTAATGTCAGTAACAACAGGTGGTTGAATAATTGGCTGAACAGCGGCGTCCTTTTTGCAGGCGCCCAGGAGGATAATTATTGCGAGGCCAGCGCTTGCATGGCGAATAATTTTTCTCATATATTCAGCAATTAATCATGATTACTGTAGAAACTGTGTATTAGCTACGGATTTTACAATTGATTGGATTTAAGAAAAATAGGTACCCGTTATTTTACAGGAAGGAGCTATACTGATTGTACGGAAAAGGTGGGTGCGAACCGGTATGCAAGGATATTTTGTGCTTGTGACCGTCTTGAACGGGATGCCTGCTACTACCAAACGGAGCGATAATTCGACAGGAGCTTTTCTTTTTAATGGTTTTTGGCGCTGGTACGGCCAATGAGGCCGCATTGATGTAATCAGGACATTAAATTTAAGACAAATTGGGGTACCGAAAAAATCAGGTTAAACTGAACATCCACCATTTTACTCTGCAAGCGAAGAGAATACTAAAACCTGGGTTTCCGGTTCAGAAAATACTTGTTATTAACGCATTAATACATCAGCCGGCTAAATGGTATACCAATGGAAAGCCCTGCGATAGTCTTGCTGATGCCGGTTGAACTGTTTAAAAGATCTAACAATAATATGTAACACTCAATATTCACTGCCGGTGTTTTTTTACTGTTGATAAGCACAATGGGTATGCCCAGGCGGCAGTTGAGCAGATCATATACACCGAAATTTTTTTCCAGTGCAGCGCTGAGACCTACATGGGAAGTGCCGGGGAAATACAGCAACCGGCCGCTGATGCCGGGCGTTGCAAAATGCTGATATTCTCCTACATATAATTTATTGTTACCGGGATCTGCTTCTGTAGCAAGGGCCGTTCCACCCAGGCTTTTATATTCACTGAAGTTCATTTTACTGAGGCCATAGCCCAGTTTGGAATTGTTTAACAACAGTGTTCCCTCAACAGTAAAAAACAACCGCCCTTTTTTGGCAATTTCCCATAACCGCGTGTGCCCAAGCATCAGCGCCAGGGGATAAGGATGCTGGTTGGAAAACGGGGCAGTTAACGAGACAGCCGTTTTATAAGTGGGGAAGAATAGAGGAATATAGGCGGCAAAGCTTGTCCAGTGGGTACGGATGCATCTAAAATTCATTGTTTTGGTAAGCAGGGTCGCCTGCTCCACCGCAAACTTCTCTTCATAGAGTTGTTTCAGATCAGCATAAAAATTTTCAGTAACTGTCTTTTTTGCCGTTGCACCCAGCGAATCCAGTTTCAGCATAGCCGCGGTAAAGCTGTTTTCTTTTTGTATAATTTCAGCGGCAATTGTTTCCAGGCTAAGTGCCCGCAGTGCATCCATTGCCTGTTTTTGATCAGGCACATTTGTAAACCTTGTTTTTACTTTGCCCAGCCATTTGTAATTAAGGGTAATACCCAGTTCGCTTTCAAACCTTTTGTCGAGAGATGATTTTGTGTAGTTGCTGGCCAATGTCATATCAAAACCAACACTCAATAATTTTTTTATGGGTGCGTCATTGCCCTTAGCCGGTTGTTGAAAATTATGGTTAACGGTAAACCTTCCTTCGCTGGAGTTAAATGTAACATAGTTGGTAAAAAAAGACAGATCCCTGCTGCCGGAAGCGTAGCCGGTTTTATCTGCCAGGAAAACATTCATAGCGCGGTGAGTAATAGCAGCGCCACTGTCTGTATTTATTGCCTGGTGAATGCTTTGTAATTCAGTGACGACTTCTTTTCCGCTTTGCGCATATGCAAAAACCACGTGTATAAAAAAGCAAATAAGTATGATAAGCTGGCGCATAAACCCTGTTGAAATATTTTCTTAAGTCTCTCTTGCTTCCGTCAAAAACCTCCCTACCTCCGTGGTAAAAAGGCAAGGTTGTTGAAAGAGATTTATAAAGATTTGTCTAAACCCCATTCCTGCAGCAGCGGGTTACAAAAAACCTTCCTGCTGTCCGCATCCAGTAAAGTATTCCTGGCGGCTATCCATTTGTCTGCATCGCTTCCATACATATTGCTGATGCGCTGAAAATTCAGCTCATTCATTTTACCCCAGTGCACCGTATAAGGAATCTGCTCTTCGTCCAGTTTCTTCCACACCGCCCTGTAGAAATTCATGGTGGTATCTGAAAAAGATCCATCCAGTTCAAGAATGCAGGTAAAATCGAAACGGGTAAAGGCAAGGGTGGCCTGCGACTTCTTAATAAAACGGTAAGAAAACAGGCCTGGAAAAGGGCCGGCTGTTTTGTTCAGTTCAAAAATGATATCGGTTACGCGTTGTACCTGGTTAAGCGGTATACCAATGGCAGAACTGAATAATTTGCCGTGCAGTGTAGTGTTGTTGAAAATTTCTCCGAGTGTGCCAAACTGTTTGCTGAAAAGGGTGAATGCACCGGCCAGTAATTTGTTTACCAGCAGGGGTACCAGTGCAGGAATAGCGTCAGTAATCTTGCCGATAAAACAGGGGGCATCATCGCCGGGGCCCAGCCCTTCTCCATTGGCAACCGGCTTTGGGTATTGATTGCGGTAGGGTCTTTTGTAGAACGTAGATACATAAGCACCCTTGTCCATATCGTATGGGTTTAGCCGCACTTCAAAATGAAAAGGCCTTTCATTGCCGCAGGGTAGCCGGGCGTTGCTGAAATCAAGCGTCTCCATCAAATTTTTCAGCGTGGCATCATAAGGCATTCGCTGCATATAGGTTTCCAGCAAAAAAATATCCTCTGTTTCTACCAGCACGGCGTGTATGATACCAAAATTGCCAAAACTTACCAGGGCAGCATTGAAAAGATCGTCGTCTTGTACCAGCTCAGTTTCCAGTTTTTCGATGAAAGAAGCCGCCACTACAGGAACCGATTTTCTTTCGAGCCAGATGTGCCGGTTGGGCCCCACAATCAGGTGCATACCCACTACATAATCCTGCACCGCGCCCACATCAAAGGACGAGCCGTGTGCGCCGGTTGACATAGCGCCTACAATGGTTTGGCCATTACTGGCGCCGGTGGTTTTTAGTGAAAGTTTTTTGGCGCGCAGCTCGCGGCTGATTTCCCATACACCGTTGCCGCATTGTGCAAACACCAGCTTATTAACGTCGCCTGTATAAGCGGGCACCACGCTGGAAGCAGACACGTTCATGGTGAGGTTAAGCGATTTGGTGTCCAGCATGATACCATCCTTTGCAGTGGCAATCTTGCTCCAGCTCCAGCCGGCGCCCAGCGATCGAAAGGGTGTATTGCTGGTAATGGCATCCGCTATTAATTGCTGCAGTGCTTTGGTAGTATCATTGTAGCTTTCAAGTGCACCCAGGTCGGGTTCATTGCCACCAATGTACAAATCCTTTATCTGTTCAGTAAAAACTTCGTGCCGGTTCTCCCATTTCTTTTGTGCTGTTTTGATCAGTTTCATTGCTGAGTGTTTATAAGATTCCGCATTTTTTGCAGGGTTTGCCGCATTTCCATTCCAGTTTTATAGGGCTCCAGATGCCCAGTGTAACCACTGTTATGAGCGAATACCCGAAATTATTTTTGATGACTACCTCTGACATGCCATTTACTTCCAGTGTATCACAAATGGGCGTATGTATCTCTTTTGGCTTTTTTAAGAGCCCCCAAAAAAATGAATGTGCCGTAACGGTAGCCACTGTTTCTGTGCCTGCCTGTGCATGGGTAGCCACCCGGTAGGAGTAGCAGCTGCAGAAAAAAAGACTGGCGAACAGCAGCCAGGTAAGCGTAACCGCCCTGCCGCAGGATAATTGCTTTATCATAATCAACATTGGTTTTTATTTTTAAAGACGATTTTTTTTTGACACCTCCGGATTTTGACGGAACTATTTTAATCTTTGCTATTTACATGAACATTTTTGTATTCAATTGCCTGCTTCCACAGGTATTTTCTGCCGCAGGATGGCCGACGCTTTGTCAAGATGCTGCAGAAAACCTGATTGGTAATGGTTATGGTTCTCGTCTTTCAGAGTACTCAATTTTTTTAAATTTTCAATTTGTATCCAGGAACCAGATGGTATATCGCTGTCGCGGATTGCTGACACCGGACTGGTTATTGTTTGCTCAATAAACTTTTCTT